AGCTTTTTGGCCACAATGCCCAGCAATATGTTTGGAGGAGAAAAGGTGAGGCCTTTAACCCCAAGAACACCATGCCTACCATCAAGCATGGTGGTGGTAGTTTTATCCTGTGGGGCTTTTTTGCTGCCAATGGAACTGGTGCTTTACAGAGAGTAAATGGGATAATGAAGAAGGAGGATTACCTTCAAATTCTTCAACATAACCTAAAATCATCAGCCCGAAGGTTGGGTCTTGGGCGCAGTTGGGTGTTCCAACAGGACAGTGACCCCAAACACACATCAGAAGTGGTAAAGGAATGGCTAAATCAGGCTAGAATAAAGGTTTTAGAATGGCCTTCCCAAAGTCTTGACTTAAACCCCATTGAAAACATGTGGACAATGCTGAAGAAACAAGTCCATGTCAGAAAGCCATCAAATTTAACTGAACTGCACCAATTCTGTCAAGAGGAGTGGTCAAAGATTCAACCTGAAGCTTGTGGATGGCTACCAAAAGCGCCTAATTGAAGTGAAAATGGCTAAGGGACATGTAACCAAATATTAGCACTGCTGTATGTATATTTTTGACCCAGCAGATGTGATCACTTTTTTCTGTTAACCCATAATAAAGTCATAAGAGAACCAAACTTCATGAATGTTTTTGTGACAAAGAAGTATCTGTTCCAATCGCTCTCAGAGGAAAATCAGAGTTGTAGAAATAACAGGAAACTCAAGAGAGCCTTGATATTATGTTCTTTACAAGTGCATGTAAACTTTTGACCACAACTGTAAGGTGAAGCTTAAAACCAAATCTGAAGCTTCAAACAGCATTTTGATGTTGTGAGGTTTTTAGATGTATATTATTGTTTTCTAATAAAACAATTTATTTGTATTTATTCATGAAACATTTTATTGAGTCACGTTTCAAAGTGTTTCACGGAAGAAGCTAAATAGGAAGATCAGAAAATCAAGTGACAATATAAGAGATAAAAGTATATGATAGTGATGTACACACACGAAGAAGTCCTTCAAAAGTACTTGGCAATCCATAGTTTTCATGCCAGACTTGGTGGGCAAAACAGTTCAGCAGTTCTTTATTCTCCAGCCCTCCTTTGAATATCTTTGAGTTTAAAAATGCCAGATAGTTACTGTGCTATTGAATGCACTACTCACTATGTATTTACAACTGTCAGAGGGGCGTAGAGTATGGCACCAACATGTGAGCATACATCTCCTAACCCTGACCTGGAAAAATACTCACTCAGCTTTACTGTTATGACACAGCATTTATGAGACAAATGAATACTATAGGAACTTTTTTCTAAAAGTCCAAGTCAACAAAATGTAAGATTTACATGTGGCAGTTTGTTTAATCTAGCTATGTAGCACTTACCTGTGTTTTAATGACCAACAATTTAATGCTCCTCACCCCCCACGTGGTGGTATTATTTCATCCAAATATACATTTACAGAAACCAGAAAGCTCCAGTACAGCACCCACAGCCTGAGGACAAGATGTTTTGACAACATAATTTTTCCCCTCCCTTTCCAAACCAGTGAGCACTGTCAGTAGCAGATGTCACCGCCACAGCAATTGCTTTTTCTCCAGCACAGTTTGCAGTAAATTGCAGACCGCAAACCTTAGTAAATTGGGTTTGTGCGATTCATTTATGCTGTTCTTCCAAAAACTTTTGCCCTCTCAAGCGGAAACACATGAAATTCTGACAGGACCTTTTTTTGGTCATCATTTTTGTGGGTCTTGTTTTTTTAAGTTATTATGATAAAAGCAGCCAGGAGATGACAGCAAAGTAGAACAGAGCAGGGTAAGGGCAAATACTACAAATAACCCGGAGCACATTAGAACCTGGACCACTGTGTTCACTTTATGGCATATACATCACCTGCTTGGCACACTGAGCGAAACAATGACCCTAACACTAAAAGAGGGTTACATGCTGGTGCAGACCATTAGCAAATCTGTCCCTGAGACTACTGAGGTGCCTTCACCTGCCTCGTCTGAAATCATTATTTCACTTATCCATTTAAATCTACTTAAAATATTGTATTGTAAAATATAGACTGAAGAAGTCACTTGGATGAGTGACGAAACGTTTCTCCCAGAATACGCTACGTCCAGATGAACAGACTCAACTTTTGGGGATACTTAAAATATTATTACACTTCAATTAAATCTAATTTAAAGCTTCAGCTAAAATATCAACAGGATAGCTTCACATTGCAGAAGTAGTTTGTGATGAACTGATCTTAGATTGTGACAAATGGTGGTTTATTGCACATAATTCAGTATAAACCTGAAATCCATGTATTAAGAGTTAAGCTATCAGATGTGTAGATTGGCAAAAGAACACAACACATTATGTATCATAAAACCCTGATGGATATGTATGTGTAAAGCGGAGTATCTTGTCTTGTATTTCCTATTATGTGTACTGACATTTATTAAATTCAAAGGAAGTAGTATGACATACAGACAGCTTTAGTCACTGAAACTTGAATGACCAACACAAACACACTTATATATAGTGACTATAGCTTCCTATACTAGATGTAATATAATGACTAGAAGAGACATGTTGTTTTAGCTGCCACCTTTTCTACTTAAATAAACACAGAGTAAGTGTTTCTGCTTTGCCTGTTTTTTCACACCTGTGCAGCCATCAACAGGGCAGACATCCAGGACACAGACATGGAGGCCATCATGGACACCATTGTAGACAGTCTTTTCTGTTTCTTCGTCACTCTTGGTGAGTGTGGCTCATAGAATGACAGCCAAGGCAAATCTCTGATATCTGTGTGCTTACAAATTCACCTGGATTTCACAATGTTTATTTTTTTAGCTGAAGCATTTTTTTCAGTTGGGTGTGTTACTGTTACAGTCCACTAGATGGTAATGCAATCTTTTTTTATTATCGGGGTAAAAACTCCCTCGACCCTGTCAAAACCACAGTAGCTTTGCTAGTTTACAGTAAGGACAAATTGGCACAATACCACAGTGGCCAAAGTATAGATGGGAGTGGAAATCTCTTAGTTTTCTGTTAACAATTTATAATCACAAATGCAATCAGTCCTCTTCACTAATATACAGTAATACTGTTTCACACATGGCAATTTAGATCAGTGAAAACCAGCCACAGAAGAATGAATAAGCTTTTCATGTAATGGTGAACTCTTTTGTCAGAATTTTCTGGGGATTGTGTGTTGGTCTGTAGGTTGGGACAGCTATTCACTGGGTCGATCTGAAAGTTCAGTTAGAAAGTTAGACTAAATCTCTGACTCTGTCAGTAAAACTGACCTTTTAGAGTCAATTTTTATTTGTAAAAGTGGTCTCAACATTTTTAGACCACAATAATCAGTATAGTATTTGAAGTTTTTTTTGACAACCTTAAGTTACCTGTAACTCATTATTTGCACATCATTCTTATTAAATAGTGGCTCAACATTGAACCAAGTTGTGATGCTTCATTGGAAGAAAACATCTCTCTGAATTCTATTTGTCTGTAAACCATTTTAACCTTCTAATTTAGTGATTCTGTTGATAAAGAAATGTGTCTCTTTGGCAATTGGCATTATTTTTTGTTGTTGTTGTTGTTAAGTTTAATGAGACTTCATTAAAGTGTGTTGTTGTTGACCAGGTGCGGTTCCAATCATCCGCTGTCCTAGAGGAAACGCAGCAGAAATGGTTGCTGTGGTGAGTCCACTCTAACATGTAAAAAACGCTCATTGTATCTCAAAGTATTCCTTCCACTGCCCACCTATGACCTCAGTTGAGACTAGCAGAGTCCCATCCCCACTATATTGCATGTTGATGGGAACCTGCTCTTCCTCTCCTGAGTCATTTGCCAGAAATATTTCAAGGCCGACCAAAAGTCTTTCTCTATGACCTCACCGAACTCTTCCCACACCCCAGTTTTTGCCTTGGCTGCTGACATAGCTGCGCTCCGCTTAGCCTGCCGGTACCTGTCAGTATCCTCCGGAGTCCCTCAAGTTAACCATGTTTAATAGGACGACTCCTTTAGCTTGAAAGCTCTCTTCACCTCCAGTGTCTACCATCTGGTTTGGGAGTTATCACCACAGCAGGCACCATCACTCAGATTCAGTGGCCTCAAGTACTAGCCCAGACTCCTCCTCCACTAGCTACCTATTCCAGTTACCCAAAGCCACGTTTCAGCAACTGGGGATCGGACCATGGTCTCTGGCTTCAAATGTTACCCAATCCACATTCCACTGGACCTCTATTACCCCTTCTACAGGTGGTGGGTCCATAGAAGGGGTGGCCCATATGGCTTATTTCGGCTGAGCCCTTCCAGGCCCCAAGGGCTAACACCCAATCACTAGATGCTCGTTGATCCCCCTGGGCCTAGTTCCAGCAAGAGGTTGCTCGGAAACCCAAATCTGGTTGTTTTGTTTTGTTTTTGTGAACTGGAACAACATTTAGGTGAATAGTTTGTTTTTAAAAAATCATCCCTATGAATACCAGCATCCAAGATTTCCAACAAAAATAACACATTGGACAGAAAAATATTAAAGGCATTCACTTTAGTCATTATAATTTTGTGGAAATATGAATGCTTTGTGTTGAATTGTGTACTTGTTTGTGTAGAAACTGGACAAAAAGCTCCGTGAGAACCTGCGTGATGCCAGAAACAGTCTGTTCACAGGAGACAGCATGACTGCTGGACAGTTCAGGTCAGCATTCTTAACGAATATGTTAGTTTCTGCAAAATTATAAATATTGGGAATATAAATCAGGTGATGCCATTTTTCTTCTTTGTTTCAGTTATTATTTTAGTCTGTACCATTCTCATTCTGTCGTGTTGCTCAACTAGCATTAGCATGAGGAGTTAAATGGTAGAAAAACACACAGTATATACTGTATGTATTTATATTAGAGGAAGATCTAGATCGACTTTCAACATGTTAACATTAATGTTAACATTGACAATATTGGTTTAGATATCCACTGAAGAAAAGGTAATCAGTATGGTTTACTTTAGTTTTTGAGTCTATGTGAGACTCTATCTCCCATCATGCAATATTTTTTCTCTGCCAGTTTAAATATTGGCCCTGTGTTTAACTACACTCAGCAGTATTATACTCTCCGCTCTAGCTTTCAGAGACCCCTGTTTGTCCTGGTAGATCGTAATGTGGACATGGCCACGCCCCTCCATCACACCTGGACCTACCAGGCGCTGATTCATGATGTGCTGGTAAGAAATCAGTCACCTGTCTGAGAATGACCAGAAATACTTCTGCTTTTCCTTTTGTCTTTGAAGCTGCAAAACCATGTGGTACGCAACAAATTTCATGGTGCATCACAAACACAGTAGAGTCCATTTCATTGGCTGGATTCAGTGAAGGCGATTCTTAGCAGACTACAAACAGCTACAGCTTCTTTTGTTAGCACACCTGTCAATCAAAGCAGCCACTGCCATAACTTTAAACTTTCCAATATTCCATTTGAGGAGTTTTTAAAAAAAGAAAGCAGTTATCCATTATTCAATTTTTAAGTGGGAAACTATCTATAGAGACCAAAACCTTTAACAAGTACTGTGCTGAAAATATTCTGTTTTTTGTCCTAAATTTGGACATTTTAACATGGAGATTGGGGTCTGTGGGGATTAAATCGCTTCTGGAGTCAAACTCAATTGACTTTTAGAGAAACAGTAACTTTTAGCATGTCACTGGCCTCATTTCTCAGTCTCTGCTTGGTCTGTGACAAATGCTTCACAATTAGGGAAAATAAAAATGGAGCCGTTTTGCTTTCAGTTCTCAGTGGTCATTTGAGTTTTGATGCTACTCAGTGCAGCATGTCAAAAGATTCTGTTACAAAAGAAGGTTAAAGTTGTGTTAAGTTTGGGAATTCTAATTTCCATATAGTATTGAGAAATGAATGGACGATTCTTAGATTTCTCTACTGCGCTCATAGCTCTCATGGGTTAGCGACCTACCATCATTTTTCCTATGCTCTGTCCCTCCTCCTTGATACAAGCCCACAAGTCTGACAAGTCTGAAACTGACAAAAATCAAATTTGTAGCCGAAAAATTTTTAAACTGTTAAAAAAAAAAAAGATTAGCATTAAAAAAACTTTTTTTTTTTCCATATTAAGTGCACTTGATTATCTGCCCCTGACTATTATTTACCCTTTTAATTTCTATGGAAGCAGAAACGGTGTACCTAATTTCTAATATACTACTTTGGCATCTTGGCTTAATTTTTGTTAAATAATAAACGGGTGTAGTGTGTTGTATTTTTCAGTGGCTGTATTTAGCTGATTTTAAGAACTGCTAAGGACTGGATGTTTTTATTAATGTCCTAATATATAAAACCTTAGAACTGAAGGAGGGTGTATTTTATTTTTCAGATGAGTGTACGCACATTATGGGGGCTTGCTGAATCATAGTCACATTTATATGACTGTCAGAAACACATATCCCCATGTTCCCACAACGCACACTAATTCTCACACTAATTCTTGCCAGAGTGCTGTCAACTAGTGAGGTGTTGAGGTTAATACTGACAGCCCTGGAATGTAGAGGTGAATGATGTATTATGTAATCAGCGCGCGGACACACACACACACACACACACACACACACACACACACACACACACACACAAATGTGCTTGCTCTCATAAAAGTTCAGCTTTTGCAAATAAAGCCCAAAAACCATCACTCTTAAGGAGTCATTTGGTCTCATATTTATTCTTTATCACTTTCCCTTCAGCAAGTGTGTTAAGATTTTTAGAAAGTCAGATTTTTACATATCTGGTTAACATAGCACAAATAAACTTCTAGATCTGATCTGATTAATATGGGTAAGGCAGACCTCATTGCTGGATAGTGTAGGTGTCTATGAAAGCTGCTAGACAATACAAATAAAAAGTGTATATAAATGATAAAAGTAGCGTCAGAAGTTATCTCATCTAGCCTGCCTGACTTATGGATGTTATTGGTCAATTTTAGCTTAGTTTGTGTTGGAGTTATTTTGAAATTAGCATCTTGAAAGAACTCAGAATCAGACACTTTACTATAACTTTTGAACATACTGATTTTTTGTTGGAAGATACAAAGAAAAACTGTCAGCCTGCTTTAGGATGGATTTCTGTTTGTGGCCTTGTTTTGCCAGTAAGTGCTGCATCAGTCCAGATGGCAGCATTGCCGACTCCACATCTCCGTCTCTATTTCCTGTAAACTTGACCACGCCCCCCCAACAGGAGACTGGATTGTAACACCAAGTGTTTGTTACTATGCCTCCTCTGTATCATGGCAACAATAATATTATGGTTCTTGTCAGCGTTTGGCGCCATTTAGTGTACTGGAATTAGCAAACGATGTGCTGTAGGAAAGATTGTCTTTGCTCTGTAGCTCATTCCAATTATCTTTAGCACACCATACTTCTTCTTGGAATAGCTTTCCTGGATTCTTGATCAGGTTTTATTATAAAAAAAATATATTCCAGAAAACTGGATTAGTTTTAGTTCTGTGATGAGCTCTAACATACCAAAATAACCGACTAACAGCAATAATCATAGCACTTGGACAAAATATTAGCCAACAATACTAAAAAAAAATGTTTTCCTGTGTCCACCAGGACTTCCATCTGAACAGGGTGGTGATGGAGGAGGGTATGGGGGCAGAGCCATCAGCTGGTGCTAGACCAAAGAAGAAGAGCAGGAAGACCTATGACTTGACTGCTGCTGACAAGTTCTGGCAGAAACACAAGGGCAGGTCAGTTCCCAAAGAGGTGGTGTTTTGTTTCAGTCTAGATCATCATCATTTAGAGTAAAAATGCTAACAACTCTAAATTAAACTTCATTCTTAAGAGGACTTCTTTGTTTTGTATGATGTTAAATGAAATATCTTTGACTTGTTTGACATTTTTATTTTAGAAATTTTTTTAGGCTGTTTTCTGGAACCTGTTTTGAAATCTTTTAACAGAATAATCAGCAGAATAATCATAGAATTAAATTACATGTTGTTTCCCATATATTGGTTGTTCATTCATCTGTGAACATGTGAAAGCCTCTTTTCAGATTTTGCAAGTTTAAGTGCAACTAATATGTGTAAGATATAATTGAATACATCCTTATAGTCCTGGTATTAAAGCTCAGTAACCGCTGAAAGTGCTTTTTACTGAACAATAAAAGCTAGGGCATTGACCAAATATTGAATGGACAGATTACTGCGTTAACGTGTGTTAATCCACCATCACGATTAAGACGCTTTACGTTTTTAACGCAATTAACCCATCTGGAGCGCAGAATAGACAAACTGCCCGTTGACAGAGACATTTCAAGGATTTTGAGTCATTCTGCACACCTGATTGGTTTATTGCATAAAAAATTTTAAGGTGACGGATTAACGTGAGTTAACATCGACAGCCCTACAATTTATCTTAACTTGGCACAGAAATGTGGGATTTGGTGCTAAATATTATTTGGACTAGGCATTCCATTCCAGACATGTTTAAGGCCAGGATGCCACACTTCTTGGCTGTATTGATAGTGTTCATTTTAATCTCCTGGTTTTCCAGTACAGACATGACTTTTAAGGAAAGTTGATAAATTTTCAGTAGCGTTGGGAAGGTTAATATAACGCTTTATGTCCCATTTTTACTTTTCTAAAACCTGTATTTGATTTAAACAGACAACAGCAAAAAACTTTGTGTTACTATTTCTGGAGTCACACTGTGGAATAACTACAACAATGTTCAAACATTTTGCTATTTAAATTTGTATTGAGGAAGTGCTTTATTAGGTGCCAAACAGTAATAGGGTGTATGGATGTCTGTATATGTGTATGTGTGTATCAGAATATTATAACATTGGTCTCTATGCTGATGATGTCTAAGTTTATCTGACTAACCTTATTATACTGAATATCATTATAATATGGTTTTTATAATTGGTTGTTTGTTACAGTCCATTCCCAGAGGTTGCAGAGTCAGTTCAGGAGGAGCTGGACACGTATAGAGCGCAGGAGGATGAAGTCAAACGGTTGAAAAGTATCATGGTAAGACTCACATATACAGCATGAGACTCAGTATGGTACAATCCAGCTGCAGTTTCACAGTGTTTGAGGCTTTGTCTGAGTCACAAAGTTAAGTCATATTCAGAGGTCAGTCACATCAGTTTTGAGTTTCGAGTCTAAGGTGATATGTCCAAGTTTATGTCCCAAGTTTTCAAGAGAATTTCCAGATCCCATGTCTAACCATCTGCTGTTCTACTTCAAGAAATTTAAGATGATATTGCACGGCAATCAAGGTTATAATCACAATACCTTACATGAAGACTATATGGCAGATTATGCAGTCCTGTTTAAGGCAGTTGTAAACACTACAGCATGATTTTGCATGCTGCTTCTTGTGATGTCTGTTCTGACTGCAGGGCTTAGAGGGGGAAGATGAAGGAGCCATCAGCATGCTTTCAGACAACACAGCGAAGCTAACCTCTGCTGTCAGGTAATGAACAACACAGGGTAATTTAAATATATACACAATGTATGCAAAACGACTCTCCCTCTGAACTGCATCAAAACAAGCATAGGTCATTTTAAAATCAGCCCTTTCAAATATAAATCTTACATGAATGATGTTCCTCATCATAAAAGTGGAACAAAAAATATGTGTATTTACGATGGTTCTTTGGGTTTAAGGTGTCCCAGTGTTTTATAGTTCTGAGTGGAAGAAAAGTTTACACCACAGTGCAGGTTGTCCCTGAGTCATGCACTCAGTGAATGAGGTGAAATTATGGTTAAATGGTTCAAAAGTTAGTTTATTTAACCCCTTTCACTGAATGTCTTTGGTTTTGCGTCAGTCTGTTTCTCAACAACAAAGAAATTATTTCCATGAACTTAAGAGGACAAATGAGTACTGAGGCAGGGAACATCTGATTTAAGTTTTGGTTTTGATCTGTGTGTGTGAGTGTGTGTGTGTGTGTGTGTGTGTTACACTGTCTAAAACAGCCTTGTAGTTGCAAATTCTTTACAGACTTGGGTACAATAAGAGTTTTGACCATGTGATAGGTAATAAAATGCAGACTGAGTTTTATTTGTCTTGTTTTTGACATTTTTTGTACCTTCTGCAGCTCCCTGCCAGAGCTGTTGGAAAAGAAAAGACTGATTGATCTGCACACCAATGTTGCCACAGCAGTGCTTGACCACATCAAGGTATACAGTAGTTTCCAGAAACTGAGATTCAATTTAAGTGCCACACACCCAAAGGCTACGTACTATAAAATGAGATTATAAAACTCTAATATTACATTGGACTTGAAGGTTGACAGTTCAGTTGAGTTGAAAAACTGATTGCTTGGCTTGTTTAAACAAATGGGAGCACTGTTGTCACCAGATGACAGATTGCAGACGTGGCTGGGTCAATTACTGGAGCTAACCAATCACTAGCAAGTTAGTTACTAGCAAGAATATAACGAAGCAAGGAAATATGTTCTTTTAGATAATATTTAAAAACAAAGGGCTCTAGAAATTTGAGAACCTCTGCTGGATCATATAGGAATGGTGAATAGTCAGAAGGTGGAGTATTTGTGTTTCTTGTTATCTTGAACATAACCTATTCTCCATTAAAAGTCAAACATAAAGTACAGTGACATCATACCTTTGCTAAAAGTCATCCACCCTTTGTAATATGGGTTGCTTGTTAGGTGGATGCAGTATCACTGAAGTTTCTCCTCAAATTGCAGTTACTTCACTTTACAGGCTAGGCCTGCCAGCATTGGAAACATGTTACCATTACAAAACAGTGCACTAATATGTATAAAGATTAGTGCATATGAAGTGTTTACTGGATGGTTTACAGCAGTACCAGTGCACTGAAAATACAATACA